GTGTGCGTGTGTGCGTGTGTGCGTGTGTGCGTGTGTGCGTGTGTGCGTGTGTGCGTGTGTGCGTGGTGTGCGTGGTGTGCGTGGTGTGCGTGTGTGCGTGTGTGCGTGTGTGCGTGTGTGCGTGTGTGCGTGTGTGCGTGTGTGCGTGTGTGCGTGTGTGCGTGTGTGCGTGTGTGCGTGTGTGCGTGTGTGCGTGTGTGCGTGGTGTGCGTGGTGTGCGTGGTGTGCGTGTGTGCGTGTGTGCGTGTGTGCGTGTGTGCGTGTGTGCGTGTGTGCGTGTGTGCGTGTGTGCGTGTGTGCGTGTGTGCGTGTGTGCGTGTGTGCGGGTGTGCGTGTGTGCGTGTGTGCGCGTGTGCGCGTGTGCGCGTGTGCGTGTGTGCGCGTGTGCGCGTGTGCGCGTGTGCGCGTGTGCGCGTGTGCGCGTGTGCGCGTGTGCGCGTGTGCGCGTGTGCGCGTGTGCGCGTGTGCGCGTGTGCGCGTGTGCGCGTGTGCGCGTGTGCGCGTGTGCGCGTGTGCGCGTGTGCGCGTGTGCGCGTGTGCGCGTGTGCGCGTGTGCGCGTGTGCGCGTGTGCGCGTGTGCGCTTTTGCGCGTGTGCGCGTGTGCGCGTGTGCGCGTGTGCGCGTGTGCGCGTGTGCGCGTGTGCGCGTGTGAGCGTGTGCGCGTGTGCGCGTGTGCGCGTGTGCGCGTGTGCGCGTGTGCGCGTGTGCGCGTGTGCGCGTGTGCGCGTGTGCGCGTGTGCGCGTGTGCGCGTGTGCGCGTGTGCGCGTGTGGCGTGTGCGCGTGTGCGCGTGTGCGCGTGTGCGCGTGTGCGCGTGTGCGCGTGTGCGCGTGTGCGCGTGTGCGCGTGTGCGCGTGTGCGCGTGTGCGCGTGTGCGCGTGTGCGTGTGAGTGTGCGTGTGCGTGTGCGTGTGCGTGTGCGTGTGCGTGTGCGTGTGCGTGTGCGTGTGCGTGTGCGTGTGCGTGTGCGTGTGCGTGTGCGTGTGCGTGTGCGTGTGCGTGTGCGTGTGCGTGTGCGTGTGCGTGTGCGTGTGCGTGTGTGTGTGTGTGTGTTTGTGTGTGTGTGTGTTTGTCTGTGTCTGTGTCTGAGTCAGTGGCTGTGTCTGTTATTTGTCTGGTCTGTGCCCTGTGCCCTGTGCCCTGTGCCCTGTGCCCTGTGCCCCTGGGCCCTGTGCCTGTGCCCAGTGGCCTCTGTGCACTGTTGGCTCTGTGTCTGTGTGTGTCTCTGTGTGTCTCTGTGTGTCTCTGTGTGTCTCTGTGTGTCTCTGTGTGTCTCTGTGTGTCTCTGTGTCTCTGTGTCTCTGTGTCTCTGTGTCTCTGTGTCTCTGTGTCTCTGTGTCTCTGTGTCTCTGTGTCTCTGTGTCTCTGTGACTCTGTGTCTCTGTGTCTCTGTGTCTCTGTGTCTCTGTGTCTCTGTGTCTCTGTGTCTCTGTGTTTCTGTGTCTCTGTGTCTCTGTGTCTCTGTGTCTCTGTGTCTCTGTGTCTCTGTGTCTCTGTGTCTCTGTGTCTCTGTGTCTCTGTGTCTCTGTGTCTCTGTGTCTCTGTGTCTCTGTGTCTCTGTGTCTCTGTGTCTCTGTGTCTCTGTGTCTCTGTGTCTCTGTGTCTCTGTGTCTCTGTGTCTCTGTGTCTCTGTGTCTCTGTGTCTCTGTGTCTCTGTGTCTCTGTGTCTCTGTGTCTCTGTGTCTCTGTGTCTCTGTGTCTCTGTGTCTCTGTGTCTCTGTTCTCTGTGTCTCTGTGTCTCTGTGTCTCTGTGTCTCTGTGTCTCTGTGTCTCTGTGTCTCTGTGTCTCTGTGTCTCTGTGTCTCTGTGTCTCTGTGTCTCTGTGTCTCTGTGTCTCTGTGTCTCTGTGTCTCTGTGTCTCTGTGTCTCTGTGTCTCTGTGTCTCTGTGTCTCTGTGTCTCTGTGTCTCTGTGTCTCTGTGTCTCTGTGTCTCTGTGTCTCTGTGTCTCTGTGTCTCTGTGTCTCTGTGTCTCTGTGTCTCTGTGTCTCTGTGTCTCTGTGTCTCTGTGTCTCTGTGTCTCTGTGTCTCTCTGTCTCTTTGTCTCTGTGTCTCTGTGTCTCTGTGTCTCTGTGTCTCTGTGTCTCTGTGTCTCTGTGTCTCTGTGTCTCTGTGTCTCTATGTCTCTGTGCCTCTGTGTCTCTGTGTCTCTGTGTCTCTGTGTCTCTGTGTCTCTGTGTCTCTGTGTCTCTGTGTCTCTGTGTCTCTGTGTCTCTGTGTCTCTGTGTCTCTGTGTCTCTGTGTCTCTGTGTCTCTGTCTCTGTGTCTCTGTGTCTCTGTGTCTCTGTGTCTCTGTGTCTCTGTGTCTCTGTGTCTCTGTGTCTCTGTGTCTCTGTGTCTCTTCAGTGGTGTCTGTCTGTGGTGTCTGTCTGTCTGTGTGTCTGTCTGTGTGTCTGTCTGTGTGTCTGTCTGTGTGTCTGTCTGTGTGTCTGTCTGTGTGTCTGTCTGTCTGTGTGTCTGTCTGTGTGTCTGTCTGTGTGTCTGTCTGTGTGTCTGTCTGTGTGTCTGTCTGTGTGTCTGTCTGTGTCTGTGTCTGTGTCTGTGTCTGTGTCTGTGTCTGTGTCTGTGTCTGTGTCTGTGTCTGTGGTGTGTGTGTGTGTGTCCCAGGGCCCCTTCACTCTTGGCCGCCCCCGACCGAGCATCAGATTTTCATCCCGAGACGTTTTTGGACCGTTCCGAGTTCCGCCGAGGGCCCCCACGACGCCACAAGCTGCCAAGCGCATTCGCCCACGACGCTTTCGCCGCGCCTGCCAGGACGACCTGGGGGGGCTGTCTGCGCACCACCTGGAGCCCGACACTCCTGGCTTTGGCAGCCCTGAGATCCCACGCGGTCCCGAGAAGCTGCAGTCCCAAAAGAATCACGACCAGAGTCCCGGACCCCGTCCCTCCGCGCCTTGTTTCGAACCGGATCGATCTGCGATGGCCCCGGCGCCCGAGACGGGGCAAAATCGCCCGTTGCGCAAACATTACGACGCCGGCATCTCAGGGAATGTCCTGATCCAGGGTTAAGTCGGGCCTGTCCCCCTACAGGGGGATTTTCGACGAAAAACAAAAAATACCCCAAAAATAATCCAAAAATAGTCCAAAAATAGTGTGGGGACTATTTTTTAAATATTTTTGTTGACCTTTTAGGGGTATTTTGGGGGTATCTTTTATTTTTCGTTGAAAAACCCCCCGTAGGGAGACACGCCCGACAGAAGTCTGGGGGCGCCCTGAGCCAGCCGCTGCTCCGGGTGCACGCCATGGACGGCCTCGTGCAGCGCCTCGCCGCGCGGCTGCCGGGAGTGGCGCACGCCCCGGCAGGGCGCGCGCCGAAGAGGCTCGAGGAGCCACAAAGTATCGCTGGGCGGCAGATATCGTCCCGGCGGCCAGTGAGAAGGCACTTGGATCACCGCGGGGGGTGCTAAGTGGATAGGGGGTCTGCATGTTACCAAAGGTGTGTCATATCTGGCCTTTCTTAACTCGTGAGTGGGTGACACGTGCCCCGCCCTGGGTGGCGTAATTAGGGGGGTGGAGGGCTGGACTGGGTGGGACCCGCCCACTTACGTAGTAGAGTTATCGACCCCCCGGGGCCACGCAGGGCATTTGCGACCCACTTTTGAGCTAGGTCAAGCCAGATATAACACACCCTCGCATCCACTTGTAGCCCCCCTATCTCCTTGGCAACCCCCGCGGTGATCCAATCAGGGAGAAGTGTCGGATGCTTTCACCGGTTCCTGGAGAGTGCGAAGGCTTGACGACCAGTGCCGCCGACCCCGAAGGGGGAGGACGACGACGACGACGACGACGACGACGACGACGACGACGACGACGACGACGACGACGACGGCGGCGTTGGCGACGACGACGACGACGACGACGACGACGACGACGACGACGACGACGACGACAGCGTTGACGACGACGGCGACGGCGGAGGCGGCGGCGGCGGCGGAGGCGGCGGGGACGAAAACATTCAAAAACTTCCGGAGAATTATTGACTTCACCCTCTTGGGCTTGTCTTGGGCGTGTTCTCGGGTCTCTCGTGGGCCTCTCGGGGGCCCCTTGGGGCCTCTTGGGCGCCTGCCTCCTGTGGCCTCTCCCTGGGGAGGCCTCTCGAGGCGGAGGGCTCGAAGGGTCAGTGCGTGTCAGCTCGTGCTCCCCCCCTCCTGGGGAGCCTCTTGGGGCTCTCGCTTGAGGGGACGCTCCGCGCGTTGTCTTAAGTCGGGCCTGTCCTCTACAGGAGGAACATCCAAAAATGGTGGGACGAAATTTTGAATCTCTTTGGGCATTTTGTGAATATTGTTTGGCTATGTTCAACTTTTCCTCCAAGCTCTGCCTGCAGGAGGACATGCCCGACCTACACAAGGCGTAGCCCTGCCTCGGTGTGAAAGTATGGCGCCGCGCCGTCTGTTCCGACGCGCGGCCGTGCGTCTTCGGGAGGGCGCCGCGGGCACCAGGACGAGCGCCGCCTCGGCGGTGGGCTCGCCGTGGGCTTGCCGCGTGCCGGCTTCGTCTGCTTGGGGCGCGTGGCGCAGGGCTTGCCGTGGGTTTGCCGTGGCGTCGGTTTCGTCTACTTGGGCGGGCGCGTTCAGAACGAACGGCGCGGCGACAGATCACGACGAGGGACCACGAGGAGCGTTGGGAGGCCAACGATGCCCCCCGGATGTTCCAAGAGTGCCCCGAGGGCGTCGCAGGATGGCCTGCAGATGGCCCAACAAGCAAGCCCCAAGACTCCCAAGAGGAGTTTCAAAAGGAACGCGTTGTCAACTATCTGCCCTCCGACGCCGAACACTTTAGACTACAACCAGAACGTGCTAGAGCCTAAGCGCGCGCAGGGCGCGCGCGCGTGGTTCTAGCGAAAAGGTCGCGAAGGATGGCGTTTTCCTATTTTCGGCCTCTGGTGGGTCTGGCTGGGCCCCAGGACCGTCAAAAACGGATCGAGATGAAAAGCTGATCCCGGGAATGGGTCGAGACTTCCGCGGGTCCGAAGAGGCTCGAGGAACAGAAAATAGGCATGAGCGTGATCTTTCGGAGGTGCACGCCGATCTCCCGTCCCCGCTGGCTCTCGGCGGCGTTCTCGTTTCTCGGCGGTTTTGCAGCCTCGAGGTGCTCTCCAGCAGCTCCGCTTCGTCGAGGGCGTTCCGGGGGTACCCGAATCGTCCCGGACGGCCGCCGGAGACAGAAACTATGGCACGGAAACCAGACGACGAGGAGATCCCCCGTCGCCGCCGCCGCAGCCGTTCGTCGTCGTCGCTGTCGCTGCCGCCGTTCGTCGTCGTCGCTGTCGCCGACGCCGCCGTTCGTCGTCGTCGCCGTCGTCGCTGCCGTTCGTCGTCGTCGTCGTTGTCGACGCCGCCCTCGCTTGAAGCAGAAAACTGTACGTACAAAGACACATGCGGCGAATCACCGCCGCCCCCTGCCTTTCTGGAAGTGCCGATGGGGCCGAAAGATGGGCTAGAGCTTGGCCAAGCTACCAGATCATGTGTTCCCCAAGCCGTCGTGTAAACCCTTCGGGAAACACGTTAGGAAGAGAATGAGGAGAAGAAGGAAAAGGGAGCACGCGGAAGAGGAGGAGGAGAAGGAGGAAGATGAGAAGGAGGAGAAAGAGGACGAGGAGAAGGAAGAGGAGGAGGAGGAGTGGACCTCTTGGGAGCCTGTTAGGGCACTCTTGGGTTCTCCTGGGAGTTTCCTCGGAGCCTCTTGGAGGCCTCTTGGAGGTCTCCTTCGGCCTCTTGGGGGCCTTTGGGGGCTTGTTCGGGGTCTCTTTGGCCGTCTTAGGGCGTTCCTGGGCCGTCGGGAGCCGTCTTGGGGGCCTCTCTGGACCATCTTGGGGCCCTCTAAGGGCGCTTCAGGATCGTCTTGGAGGCCATCTTGAGCCTCATGGAGCCCTCTGGCATGTCGGGCAGTCTTGGAGTCCTCTTGGGCGCTCTGGGGGCGATCTTGGAGGCCCATTGGGCCGTCTTAGGCCTTCGGAGGGCCGACAAGAAGCGAATTCTAAAATCAATCTAAATTTTATGCAAAATCAACGATGTTGGCCTCTTCAGGCTTTCCTGGAGGACCGCTTGGAGGCCTCTTGGGCAGTCTTGGCGGCCTCTGGGGGGAGGTCTCTAGGGGTCCTCTTGGGCCGACCGTAGATGGAGTGGGAAGATCGCGCCGCAGAAACCGATGCATCGCCGATGCGGCTCGATGCGGAGCCCGATTTTCTCCACGCCGACGTCGCCGAGGCATCGGCGATGCAGTGCGACCCTCCGACCCCACCTGCTTGGAACCCATGTGAAAGGCCTCTGGATCCGAGGAGCCAAAAACGGCAGAAATCCAAAATGTCGGAGGTCAGCGCGGATTCATTGGATCGGCGCTTGCCCCCTCGGCGGCGCCTCCGTCGCCGCCCCTCGCGCGCTCCTCCGCTCCAGGGAGGGGGGCCCAGCGCCGATCTCAGAAATCCGCGCAGACCTCCGGAAGCTTGTGCTTATGCCGATGCTGTCCCCCTGGATATATCGACTTCGGCCAGCCAGGCCCGATTTGGGAGACCTCTCTGACCGCATGGTCGGGGCGCTGTTCCAGACCCCCGACGTCATGATTTTTTCATGACGCAGCCCCAGAGGTCCAGACCCGTTCCCTGGGACCGGCCTCTCATCCCGAGTCGTTTTTTGACGGCCCGAGGCCCAGCAAGAGCCCCCAGAGGCCGGACATAGCGAAAAACCTCCCGCCGTGATTTTTGTTTATGACTCGAGGGGGTGTGGGGATGGGAATGGGGAAGGGGAGGAGGAGGAGGAGGAGGAGGAGGAGGAGGAGGAGGAGCGAAAAACCTGCCGTCGTGCTTTTTGCTCACGGCGCGAGGGGTTCTGTCCCCCGAGAGAGGCGGCGCTCCGAGGGCGACTGCGGGGCCTGCGGGGCGAGCGCGGACCCCGGCGCGAGCTGCGACGGCTGCGGCTGGGCGGTGCAGCTGTGCGCCAGGCCCTCGGGGAAGCCCCCGAAGAGAGGCGAGGGGAGGAGAGCGCAAGATGGCGGCGGCGTGTGGAGGGGCTCCTCCCTTGTCCTCCTCCTCCTCCTCCTCCTCCTCCTCCCCTCCTCCTCCTCCTCCTCCTCCTCGTCTTCCTCTCCCTCCTCCTCCTTCTCCTCCATCCCCCTCCTCCCTCCTCCCCTCCTCCTCCTCGTCCTCCCTCCTACCCTCCTCCTCCTCCTCCTCCTCCCCTCCTCCGTTCCTCCTCCTCCTCCTCCGCCTCCTCCCTCCTCCCTCTCCTCCTCCCTCCACTCCCTCCCTCCCTCCCTCCCTCCCATCCCTCCCTCCCCCTCTTCCTCCTCTCCCTCCCACCCTGCGTCCCCTGGCGAGGGGAGAGAGCACGAACGACACGACCGCGGTTGCCGTTGCCAAGAGTTCGGGGGATCGTGTCGTTGGCGATCAAGGTCGTGGTCCCTCCTCCCGCCTCCTCCTCCTCCTCCTCCTCCTCCTCCTCCTCCTCCTCCTCCTCCATCTCCTCCACCCCTCCTCCTCCTCCTCTCCTCCTCCTCTCTCCTCCTCCATCCTCCATCCTCCATCCTCATTCCTCCATCCTCACATCCTCCATCCTCCATCCTCCATCCTCCATCCTCCTCCTCCTCCTCCTCCTCCCGCCTCCCCCTCCCCTCCTCCTCCTCCCTCCCTCCTCCTCTCCTCCTCCTCCTCCTCTCTCCTCCTCCTCCATCCCTCCTCCTCACTCCTCCTCCTCTTCTCTTACTTCTCTAACTCCTCCATCCTCTTCCTCCTCCTCTCCTCCACCTCCTCTCCTCCTCCTCCTCCTCCTCCTCCTCCTCCTCCGCCGCCTCCGCCTCCGCCTCCGCCTCGTCCTCCTCCTCCCCCTCCTCATCCTCCTCCTCCTCGGTGCAGCTGCTGTGCGCCAGGCCTCGGGGGGGCCCCGAAGAGAGGCGAGGGGAGGAGAGCACAACGACACTGGCCGCGATTGCTGTGGCCAAGAGTTCGGGGGATCTTGTCGTTGTCGATCTTGGTCGTGATCCCTCCTCCTCCTCCTCCCACCTCCTCCTCCTCCTCCCTCCTCTCTCCTACCTCCTCCTCTGCTCTTCCCCCCCTCTTCTCTCCTTCACCTCCTCCCCCTCCGCCTCCCTCCGTCCTCCTCCTCCTCCTCCTCCTTCTCCTCTTCCTCCTCCTCCTCTTCCCCCTCCTCCTCTTCCTCCTCCTCCTCCCCCTCCTCCCCCTCCTCCTCCTCCTCCTCCTCCTCATCATTTTCCTTCTTCTCCTCCTCCTCCCCCGTCGACCTTGGTCGTGGTCCATGGCGAGTCGACGATGGCCAAAATGGACGATGACCGAGATCGGCGCCGATGCTGTGCCTTCAGTCTTGGGCGTGGCCATCGCTGTCTTTCCAGACAGGGGCATGACCATGAAATTCTGCTCGCGACCGCAACCACGCACGGTATAAGTGGGCCTTCTTCGGGGGTAGGTTCGCGAGAGTGGGACGTTCAAACAAGCATGTACACGATGTTTCAGTCGAAGGCCCGCATACCTTACTCCAAATCCCTTATTAAGCGACCATCGACCCCCCCAAGAAAAACTGGACCCCCCCTCCAAATGCGACCTAATATTCCGGACCCCCCTCGTCGACGGGGCGCCTTAATAAACCGGACCCCCTAAGCTCCAATCCAAAGAAAACGCCCGAATAAACCGGACCCCCCCTTTTACAAAAAATGCGCCTGAAAAAAACAGATCCGGGGGACGATTCATGAGGGATTCGGAGTAGTGGTTGCACATGTGCATGTACGTCGATGTGGAAGATTATAAGCACATACATGGACATGTATGCATGCTTGCATGCCTACATACATACGTACACACATACATACATATAAAACATACATCCACACAGGCAGACATACATACATACAGAAAGACAGACCGACAGACAGACTGGCATCCATACATGCACCGATTATGTGCACCAGTATTTATATATATAGAGAGAGAGAGATATAAAAAAAGGAGAGTGAGAGAGAGAGGTGTGTGTGTGCGTGTGTATGTAGATTGACTTTCTGACCATCGCCGTACTAGTTCCTTGCTCGGTCGGTATACAATTGGGTTGGGACGACTACGGCGCGCGGACGTTTATGAGTTTCGAGGTCAGATCTATTGGGGCTCGTCAAGAAGCATTTTGAGGGCCTTTGGGGGGCCTCTTTTGGTCCTCCTGGGTCCTCTTGGGGCCTCTTGGGGGCCTGCTGGCAGTCTCGGGGGTTCCCTTGGGGCGAGGGCTCGAAATCGCAATTCGAGTTTCCCCCCTGGGAGCGTCTCGGGGCCCGTTTGGGAGCCCCTTGGGCCGTCTTGGGGCGATCTGGGAGGCTTCTTGGGCCGTATTGAACGCCGCGAGAGGCCTAAAAGTCGCATATGCTGAAAATTTGTATTCCCCATATGGAATGGGACGGTGTTTGCCTCCTGGAGCTCTGCCAGGAGAGCTCTTGGAGGCCTCATGGGGCATGCAAACAGGATGCAAACAGGATGCCTGTATGCATACATGCATACAGGCATGCATACATACATGCATGCATGCATGCATACATACATATACATACATGCATACGTACATGCATGTAGATGTGTATATATAGGTGTGTGTGGTTCCTCGCCAGCGCAGTGACTCTGCCTAGCCGCCGACGCAAAAGTGTGTGGGTGTGTGTGTGGGTGTGCGTGCGTGTGTGTGTGTGTGAATGTGTGTGTGCGTGTGTGCGTGTGTGGGTGCGTGCGTGCGTGCGTGTGTGTGTGTGTGTAAGGTGTGTGTGTGTGTGCGGTGTGTGTGTGTGGTGTGTGTGGTGTGTGTGGTGTGTGTGTGGTGTGTGTGGTGTGTGTGGTGTGTGTGGTGTACGTGGTGTACGTGGTGTGTGTGTGGTGTGTGTGGTGTGTGTGGTGTGTGCGTGGTGTGTGTGTGGTGTGTGTGGTGTGTCTGGTGTGTCTGGTGTGTCTGGTGTGTGGTGTGTGTGGTGTGTGTGTGGGTGTGTGTGTGTGTTGTGTGTTGTGTGTGGTGTGTGTGGTGTGTGTGGTGTGTGTGGTGTGTGTGGTGTGTGTGGTGTGGTGTGTGTGGTGTGTGTGTGTGGGTGTGTGGGTGTGTGTGTGTGTTGTGTGTTGTGTGTTGTGTGTGTTGTGTGTTGTGTGTGTTGTGTGTGTTGTGTGTTGTGTGTTGTGTGTGCGTCTGCGTCTGCGTCTGCGTCTGCGTGTGCGTGTGCGTGTGCGTGTGTGTGTGTGTGTGTGCGTGTGTGCGCGTGTGTGCGTGTGCGTGTGCGCGTGTGTGCGTGCGTACGTGCGTGCGTGCATGCGTGCGTGCGTGCGTGTGTGTGTGTGTGTCTCTGTATCTCTGTCTGTGTTTGTGTCTGTGCCTATGTCTTTGTCTCTGTGTGTCGATGTATGTGTATATATGCATACATTAAACGTATGGTTACAAGTGACATGTGCGTGCCCAGGCCCATGCAAAAATATGTGCAGGATGTGTGTGGTGCGTGCGAAAGTTTTGTGGTGCGTGTTGTGTGTGTGTGTTGTTTGCGTTGGTTGTGTGTTGTGTGTGCTAAATGTGAACTATGTTTTGGTCATGTGTGTTATGCGTGTCATGTGTGTTGTGTGTTTTGTGTGTTGCGTGTATGTGTGCGCGTGCGTGTGTGTTCTCCAAGGCGATATCTGGGATGCGACCCTTGAAGGTCGGCGGTAGTGTCTGGCGTCGGCCTCCACTGCAACTCCTCTCCCCAAGAGCTTGCGTTGCTTCAATCACGCGCCTCATTGAGAGATGTACAGGTACACCGGACCGCCCGCACTGCTTTTAGCGTCCTCGCAGCAGTGCTGGCTTCTATTGGGCTTACCTCGAGCCCCACGCACGGCCACGAGAGAGAGAGAGGGAGAGAGAAAAGTGTGTCCCTCCAGCGCTGGGCGCAGAATTCCGCAATAGGGCCAGACGGGGACACAAGGACGGTCCTCGGAGGCATCATGAGTGCGCGGCACCATTCCTGGGACCACAAGTCAGAGGACCACGGGGTTCGGGCGGTTCTGGTATCTACAGTGGGGGGCCATGTCAAGAAACACCCTGCTTGCCTCCAGGGTGCCCTGGGTTTCTTGGGTTTCGATTGTTTTGCGATGAAAGCGTGACGTTCCCACACCAAACTTGCCTGGTTCAGGACCCAACCATATGCAGTTGCGAGTAACGCAGTTATGAATACCATCTTCGGTTGAGCTCCCGATGGGGCCACGAATCATGTGAGGGGTGTGCCGAAGTGGGTGGGGGGGGCGCATGTGGACGGTGGCACTGGGGCCTTCGGTGGAGCTCCTTATGGGGCCACGAACCGCGCGAGGGGTGTGCCGAAATGGGTGGCGGGGACATGCGGACCCTGCCACTGGGACCTTCGGGGGAGCCCCCTAGCGGAGGTGCCATGTGGACCCTGTCACTGGGGCTTTCGGTGGAGCTCCCTATGGGGCCACGAACCGTGTGAGGAGTGTGCCAAAATGGGGCGGCGGTGCCATGCGGACCCTGCCACTAGGGCGTTCGGTGGAGCTCCCTATGGGGCCACGAACCGCGCGATGGGTTGTGCCGACATGGGGCGGCGGTGCCATGCGGACCCTGCCACTGGGGCTTTCGGTGGAGCTCCCTATGGGGCTAACGACCGTGTGAGGTGTGTGCCAAAATGTGGCGGCGGTGCCATGTGGACCCTGCCACTGGGGCCTTCGGTGGAGCTCCCATATGGGCCACGAACCGTGTGAGGGGTGTGCCGAAACCTGGCGGCGGTGCCATGCGGACCCTGCCACTGGGGCGTTCGGTGAAGTTCCCTATGGGGCCACGAACCGTGTGAGGGGTGTGCAGAAATGAGGCGGCAGTGCCATGCGGACCCTGCCAATGGGGCCTTCGGTGGAACCCCCTATGGGGCCACGAACCGTGTGAGGGGTGTGCCAACATGGGGCGGCGGTGCCATGCGGACCCTGTCACTGGGGCGTTCGGCGGAGTTCCCTATGGGGCCACGAACCGTGTGAGGGGCAAGCTGAAATTGTGCGGCGGTGCCATGTGGACATTGCCACTGGGGCCTTCGGTGGAGCTCCCTATGGGACCACGAACCGTGTAAATGGTGTGCCGACATGAGGCGGCGGTGCCATGCGGACCCTGCCACTGGGGCGTTCGGTGGAGCTCCCTATGGGGCCACGAACCGCGCGAGGGGTGTGCCGAGATGAGGCGGCTGTGCCACGCGGACCCTGCCACTGGGGCCTTCGGTGGAGGTCCCTATGGGGCCACGAACCGTCTGAGGGGTGTGCCGAAACCTGGCGGCGGTGCCATGCGGACCCTGCCACTGGGGCCTTCGGTGGAACTCCCTCTGGGGCCACGAACCGTGTGAGGAGTGTGCCAAAAAAGGGCGGCGGTGCCATGCGGACCCTGCCACTGGGGTCTTCGGTGGAGCTCCCCATGGGGCCACGAACCGTGTGAGGGGTGTGCCGAAATGGGCATGCGGAGAACAGAGGCAGGGATGGGAGGAGAGGCACAGATGGGAGATGAGGGGGGAGGGGGCAGCGGGAGGAGCGAACGCGGGGCGCTGTCTTTTCGAAACGAGGACCCCACACCACAGGATGCTTGGGAAAAACAATGGGCGTCCTGGGGTCTCAGGATTGGGCTTCTTGTGGCAGGTTTCTTGTGGGCTGGCCTGCACTGCAGGACGGGCATCCTGCGCGCACGCCTCTCAGTCCTGCGCCCACGGACCTCGAAGGACCCATCCAACGATGCAGTGCCGGCCCTGGGCCCCCACGGCCCACAGGAGAGCAGAGAGCGGCGGAGAAGCGAAGCGCGGGCCCGACGAGCTTCCCCGGGCCACGGGAGAGGAAGGGAAAGAGGGGAGGCGACGGCACCGGCAGAGCAGGAGCGGGGAAAGGAAGGAGGTGGAGGGGAAAGCGCGTCAAGACGATGGCCTTTTTCGAGCTCGGTGCCCCCATGGAGGTCTCTCCCTCGATGAGCCCCGCGGCACTGCTGGCGGCCTCGAAGCTGCTGGCCAACTTCTGATAGAACGATGATGGGAAAGAGGATCGGCGCCGCCCGTCCGCTCATCATGCGAATTTTCTGATACGTTGCGGCAGGGGCGATATTCATCCCGCGGTATTCCACGCACTGTAACCGGGCACGAAAAACCGACCACCGGTTGTAAAAGATCTGGTGCCCCCACCGTTGGTTTGGATTGCAATTTTCAGATCATTGTCTAGCAGGTACTGCCGAGATACCTTGGCTAGGTTCAAGTAGAACCGATACAGTTCGGTGGTGCGAAACTCTTCCGTTTTCCAATGATCCATTGACAGCCGTCTTGAAGGCTCCTTCCGTTCCGTCTTCCAAGTCAGATGTGTTATCGAAATGCGCCTCCGTGAATAGGCGCTGGATGGTGGTGATGCCCTTCTTGGTCGCGGGGTGTGGCGATGGCGTGCTGACAGCGATGGCGGTGGATGCTGATCAATACGAACTGTCCACCGCTACTCGTGCAGGCGTAGACAGGTTGATGCGATCCTTCTGGAACACACGATCGATGGACTCGTGCATGGCCCGCCCAAGAAACCATGGCGTCGAACCTCCGCATATCGGGACGCACTTTTGTTTGCGTCAATGCAGGCCTGGTACCTCTCGTCGTTCACCCGCAGAGGTATACAGAGAGAAGTGATGCGCCCCTTGACTGCTGCCATCCGTCTAGCCTTTCCAACCAGCTTCACACAAAAAGCCTGGTTCTTGGTCTTGGGACCATGGCCACGGGAAACGCAGGGCTTGTAAGATGCACAGTGCGCGATGAAAAGGTGAAGCAAGCCGTCTTGGAATTTGCAGGCAGGACCGAATTGACAACTTTGAACGTACCCGGTGCGAACGGCATTTCAGTACAAGTCCGAGAAAACATTGCACAGAGACCTTTGACCGTGAAGTTGAAGCTGCCGTCGCCCGCGTTCGTGACGTGTTTTTTGCCTTGCATGCCGAGCCTGACGTGGCCCCCGCAGTCGAGGAAGACTCCGCCCTCGAGGGAAACCCCACCGTGGATGTAGTGGTCCGTCCTGGGTCCGATCTCTACGCTGAACCTCGGTCGGAAACCATGCACCGGGGATTGGCGTACTTGATGATGAGAGATCCCCTGGTGAATGCATGGGCCTCACATGGGAAGACTGCCACGAGGAACACACACACCGTGTGTCTAGGACCCTCAACGTGGTCGGTACCGTGGCCATGCACCATCCCCCCTTACAGGGGAACGAGTACCCCGTAGATGTCCTCGGCTTCGAGCTGCCAGCCGCTGCCAGCCTGAGGGTCCAGAGCGAACGGATAAGATTCGCCTTTCCACAGTAAGTCTCTGAATCGCTCCCTGCCCATGAGGCACCAGCCCCCCTGGGGTTGAGGCACTGCCGACGCCCTTGGGCCCACCGCGGATAGAGTTGATCATTCGCAACTTTGGCACGAGGAGAAAAAACGCGGAACACCTTGGCCGGCCGCCTCGGAACGCGTTTTTTTGAATTCACGATGGGATCGGATGATGTTTTGTGCCATCATGACGTCGGAGATGACGATTGCTGGACTGTGGTCGGCGATGCCAGTGCCGCGTCCTGGTGGGAACCGACCTTTGAGAGGGTGAAGCCCAAGAAGCCCCCAGGAGTGCCCCACGACTCCCAGAGCCCCCCTAAGACAGCCCACAAGGGCCCCCAAACGGTCCAAAAGGGCCCCAAGACGGTCCAGAAGGGCTTCTCAGAAAACCCAGACGCGCCCAATAACAGAGACTCGCCTCCCATTCCGCTCTTGCTCCTCCCTTGTGCGCTGACGGCTGCTTCAGAAGCTGCGTTGACGCGTGCTCCAGAAGCTGGGACCCCAAGGGGTCGGCGGGTTCGGACCTATCAGTTGGATCCCTATGCGATAGGTTCAATGATTCACATGGGGCTGTGTCTGGATGTCCTATCTCACGGATGGTTTTGCATCATTATCATGAACAGATTCCGTGTGCATGATGTTCGACATGGTTATCCCACAAGTGGTGTTGATTGAGTTTTAACCGGAAGACGCGATTGCGTTGCTCATTTGCCATGCCCCATGCCTATGTGATGATTACATGCGGATACTTAGACTTTTCGCACCTTGCATAGAATACATTGGAAGGCGGGGCTAAGGAGTGCGCCCAGGAAAGCGCTGAAGGATCAAGAATCGCGCCCTCGCCCCCGAAAGCTTCCGGTAGAACCCAACAGGCATTCTAAGACCACCAGAAGACGAGAAACAAGTCTCGCAAGATTCCCCGAAAGCCCTCCAAGGAGGGGGGCGCTCAATAAAATCTGAAAATGGTAACAGGGGCGCGTTAGCGAACGACAAGTAAAAATGAAAAGGAAACATGAGGACCAGGTGACACGCAACAGGTTTGCAACGAGGATAGGGGCTTACGGCAAAAAGGAACCTTCGTCCTTTGGGTGAGTATCTCTCTTTCTCTCTCTCTCTCTCTCTCGCTTTCTCTCTCCCGCGCCACGCCCGCCGCCTGCGCGCCGATCCTGAAGGGCCAGCGTGCATGGCGCGAAGCGGCAGTGCAGGTTTGAATAATTAGATATGTGTGTATAATGTATATGTAAATGTAAATGTATGTGTCTATGTTGATTTATGTATATGCATGTGTATGTGTGTGCGTGTGTTTGTGTGTTGTCTTGCGTGTGTTGTATGCGTTGTATGCGTTGTGTGTGGTGAGTGTGTTGTGTGTTGTGTGTATTGTGGGTTGTGTGAATTGTGTATGATGTGTGTGTGTGGTGTGTCGATGTTGTGTGTTGTGTATTGTGTGTGTGCTTCATATGTTGTGTGCGTTGTGTGTGTGTGTGTTGTGTGTGTGTGTCCGTATTGTGTGTGTTGTGTGTGCGTGTTGTTTGCTGTGTGTTGTGTGTTGTGCGTGGTGTGCGCGTGTGTGTGGTGCGTGCGTTGCGTGCGCGCGGTACCCAAACAGCACCGCTTGGTCGTCAAACCGCGGGGGCGGATTCGGGATTTTGGGACACGTTCGTCTATTAGTGTGCGTGGTCCTGCCTCGGGATGCGTTACTGCAGCTGCGCCTCGCCGAGAGAGTTCCAGGGGTGCCCAGGTGGTCCCGAATGGCCGCCGGAGGCCCGCGTTGTGGCAAACATTCGGAGTGCGGTGAGTCCGATGGGATTTGCTGTTACCGGATTGTTTCGGGGTCTGGGCTGTTCTCCGAGGATGTCTCCGGCGACCGCTGCCTCCAGGGTCCCAGATTGGTGCGCTGCGGTTACGGTCCGTGCGGTGACGTCTTTTGGGATTTCGAGGTCACCGCACGGCCTGTCATCGCACCGTGTCGGGACACCCAAAGGTTCGGCCACACGTGAGGGTAGCCGTTAGCTGGAGTGACCCTTGGCGCGCGGCTTTCGGGGGCGCAGGGAGGCCAAACCCAAGCATGCAGCCCGCTGCTGTCGCATCGCGCGCAATCACTGGCAAACCGCGCGCAAGAGTTCACTGATGCTTGAGGTCCCTCTCGCGTGCAGCCGACAGGTGCGCGGAAGAGCAGATGCTGCAGTGCGAGCAGTGCCATGCGTGGGTGTGCGAGTGGTGCACGGCGGGGAAGTGCAGGTACTGCAAGATGCCGCACGTCTGCTCGCGCTGTTCCGCGTCGAGGCTGCGGCACTGTCCGCGGCCAGAGTGTTGATATGTGGGCGCGATGTACATACGCATCTTTGTCGGAGCCAGCTTTCGGAGTCACGCGCTGTTCGTGCTGTTCTCGGAGTCGCGCGCTGCTCGTGTTCGGCACGGTCCCGGGTAGGCCAGGCGTCGGGTATGTTTGCACAGTGCTTCTCTGTCCTGGCAGATCGCAGTTCGGGATCATTGGCTCACTGAGGCAGGGCCGCGAGAAGCTAGGTGTGCGCAGTGGTCGTGAGCAGCTGCTTGGAAGCAGCGCGGCCGCACCACTGCACAAAGGCGTTTTTTCTCCAAACAGTGCTTGCATTTAGGGGTCATGATTTGGCTTTGTGATCGTTTTTTACTCATTGTTTTGCCGATCGGCGCGGGCCCTCGCATCGCCCCCCCCTCATCGTGGAGTAGACCTTGGCTGTTTCTGGCGCCTGCTTCGAGCAGGTGGAGTCTCCTCGCCCATGGGACGCACGGTTTGCAAACGGTCGCACAAAGCAGAGCTCCGGGGCCAGACCCCCCCCCTCCCTCCCCCCTCTCCGCCCAATGTCGAAACGCCGAAAAAGAAAGCGCTGACTTTCTTGAGTAGCTGGATGAGTTTCGCCGCGTGGGCGCCCACCTCGCGCCCGCCTCGTGAGCGCCCCGTGCGCTCGGTGGGTTTCCCGAGGTCTCGCCTCGTCGGCGCCCAGATGCCCGCTCGTGGGCTCCCCGTGGGTGCCCCGTGCGCATACGCCACGCGGCTTGCGGAACACAGGTTGCACCGCACAGCCTCCAACACGCAGCTCACACCACGCAGCTCACGCCACATAGCTTGCACCACAAGGCTCACACGGCTTCAGCCTCCACCACCCAACTCACACCGCAGACCTTACACAACACAGCTCACATCAGATAGCTTACACTGCCACAGCT